GTATTCTTGAGTGTGACAAATTATATATTTTTTTAATTTCATTCTTTTATATAAAAATAAAAACTTTAATATTATTTTTTTTTATATAAGATTTCTTTATTAGTTCAATTTTATTAAACGTTGTGAAAAATATAAAATATTCATAATCATTTTATATTTATATAAAAATGTTATATATATTTAAACATTTCTTCATTCAATTAAATACATTTAAATTAACTTAAAAGATTAAAAATATTGATTTTTATTATTTTCAATAAGTGATATAATAGAGTCTATGATATGTTTATAAATTAAGTAGTTCATTTGTAAATAACCTTAATCTTATTATATACAGATGCATTTAGAAAAGTTCTATTATATTTCAAAATCAAGTTTATTGATGAATAATTCATGGATGGCGTTGGCCCATGAATGACCTGGCCCATTTCGAAATAAAGTACAGTGAAGGGAGTTAAAGAATGTCAATATTGTGCAAAGGGACGAAATATATAAGATACTAAAATCTTACAAACAGCACACGCTTGAGCACTCACTCTAAAGTCATTAAGAAATAAGTTTTATTCCTCGAATTTATTGTTATTAATTATAAGAAACCATACCAAAACCGTGTTAAAACCATGCCAAAAACCACGCGACCCTTTCCTAGATTTCTATCTATCCCATCATGTTCCCACAAAAACCGAGATCCTAAAGCTATTCTTCTTCCGGTTCTTCACAGAATTTTATACTACCACTATCCCAATTCATAAAGTTCTCAATATCTTTCAGAACAATATTGATTGGAGTCGCATAACCTACTGTGTTCCATACTCCATAATTCTCTTCTGCGCCTAAGACTATGGTTATAAGTACAAGAGCTCTGTCTCCAAAATCCTTTTCTTCAGCTACGACATCAATATCACAGATTAGAGCTCCAGAATCACCTGGGGCGGAGACGGCATTAGAGTTACCATCCACATAAATGTATTCTCGTGAGGGCTCACAACCGAATTTCTTTCGGGTAGCGAGGATACTATTAAATATATAGGACTCCCATCTGGTTATTCAGCTCGTTAGTTTGAAGTAGATGATGTTTATTTTGGGTATTGATGAGGGTTGTGGGTTCTTGATGTTGAAGAGATCCGAAAAGAATAATTTCTTCCATTTTTCCGTGAAGTCTTCGATCTGTGTGGCTTCGTCTTGGTGAAATTCCCCGATCTTCAATGGAAGATCCGGTAGTATTTGGTTGAACTGTTGTCAGAATTAGTAAAGTTGTTTGGGGGAATGAAAATTCATAGGTCTTAATACCTTCTTCTCGACATTAGCTGGAGAAATATTATCAACAGTAAATAGTGCCTAATCAATAAATCCTTCATAGTCTGGTATTCTACGCCATTTCTCCGGAGCAGCATAGATATGGCCAATATTTGGATCATGGTGTATAGCAGTATACAAAGATGAAGCCCAGCGCTCTTCACGACGTTGGTGGATTTTGATACGGGTTTGAGTCAATTCGGGATCCAATGCTCTGAATGATCCTCTTTGATATCCCTCAATCATATGTTGAGAAGATCTAACATGGACTAGCAGGGACTTTTTGGTTTTTTGGTGATCTATGAGTGCAGGAATACAGACCCTCAACTTTTCGTTGTCATCTTCGTATTTGTATAATATTTTAGAATCTGGATCATTTGACTCTGGAAAAAGTATATGGCGAGAAGTGAGACCGTAGATTTCGTTTTTATGACAGACAAACCCAGTAAAAGATCCTGCAGAGGAAGATTTTTCATTGCCGATTGAGGAGCTAGGATATGGAGTATAGTAATATAAATTATTGAATCTATCTGTAACATCCATACCGTAATTATTATTATTATTCGAAAACCTTGATCTTTGCTTATATACTTGGCAAACATCGATAGGAATCCTAGATAGAAAGCTAATAAGATGATTGACCCAGTACGAATCAAGTTGGAATAGAAATGGAATTCGAAGAGAATGCATACTTATTGTGGGTTTCCTGTTGAATTACCTGCTCCATAGCATGTATGATCTCGATAGCAGCACCTTCATGATTTGTGAAAAAGTCTGTTGTTTCTATCAAAAGATAAATGATAATGGGAATGGAATTTAATGGTGGGATATTCTTGAATCTAAGTTGTAAAATATTCATAAACCATTTATATTTGTTAGGGATTAAAAAAATAAAAAAAAACTGTAAATAATCCCTAAAGTTTATTATTATAAAATTTACAGAATTTTTTATCTTGAATTATACAAATATCCTTCCTAGTTGAAAATATTGAAGTGGAATTAATACTAAAAACCATATCTATTGATTGATTGTAGTCATAACTTCTTGCCCGTATAGACCATAAAGATAACGGCAATTTTCCTCGATAATGTGGGCCATATTGTGGTTTTGAAGAGGATGAGAGAGAGAGGACGAAGGAATTGTTCTGGTCTGTTTTCAATATTAGTATTATGTAGAAGATAATAAAGAGTGATGAGAAACGTTCTTTTAACCTTCCACACTTTGTATCGATATATTCTTAGCGTTCATTTTTGCTAGGATGAGTACTTTAATAGTACAATTGATGATAGATAGTACGGTAGCTCACTATATGCTAGATAACTCTACAGCAGGTGATCATCTCTAAGGCAGTATAATCGATGAATAATTCACTATCATTGAAGTTCAAGTAAAGGGTCATCGATATGGGAGATACTTGCGAATTATATCAATCTGACATTTGAAGCGGATAGTGAAGCTGGAGTACGGTTGGATATGTAGCAGGTCACTGGCAATTCAATTTTATTACTATTATTATTTATTTTATTCTTTTTTTTTAGTATTCCTATAACTTTTAGAGTTTGGAAAAAATATTGTTATTTATATAATTTTAAATTGTTTTATTAAAATCCATTAGTATATTTATTCCAGAGTATTAATCAATGTAAAAATTTATCAATCAATATAATTAATAAATAAATAATCTAGTTTATTAATCAATAAACTAGAGTATTAGTCAATATCCTAGATTTTTGAATAAACTAATTCATTATTAATACATCCAGTTTGAATAATAATGAGGCTATTTACAAATGAATTAAAATAACAGATTGGCAGTGACCTACTATGTGGCAGGCTATACTGGAGAGTTGTACGCTTTGAGTAATTGAAATTTAAGTACAAGGATATCGACAAATCTGCCTACCTTAGATGCTTTTCCTCCCGCCTTTATTAACAGATTTTGCTGTACAACTTCGAGTACATTGGCATTTCATAGTCATCAAAATTACTTGTACAACATAATTTCAAGCGTCTCTTGTCGCAACCATAGGTATGATTTCGAATTCAAACCCTACCATGCTTGACACTCCGTATGGATAGTGTGGTACGATGAACTATATTCGTCGAACACATCCATAATGTACAAAGTATATCAAATGTGTCCAAATTGGGGTCACAAGAACCAGTTCACGATACACAACATAACTTCATCCGGTGAGTGGAGATAAGATGCGGTTATCTTGAGAGTATCAATTCAAGTCGCTCCTTCCTGCGAGAGGAGTCGTGGAAGTAGATAGACAGAAAGGGTAGGACCTTGTTCTTCTTATCTACTCTGCACTTCTTTCTCAAAAAAAAGTTGGGTGGTTTTATTATTTTGTCGAATCATTCAATTTTTTCTCAAAAACGTGTTCAGCTCAAGGTTTTGTCTCTGCCACTACCAAATCCAAGATCCAAGAAGACTTAGGCCAATCAATATGTCCTCAATTAACATTTTGTCGAATCGGCATGTTAATACTGCCAGCGATGAGCCATTGATTTGCCCCGTGCATGGAACATCGTCATCGTTGCAGTCTCAAGATGATGAACCCAAAGAATTTGCTGAGGTTAAAGAGTTGAGGTACCACTGAAACAGTACTCAGTTTGCACAAGCATTTAGCTAAAAGCATTTGGCAGACGAGGTTTGGCACAAAGGCATATTCAGATGATCGCTTTAGCTGGGACAATTGGGACAGTAAGAACGATAAATCGAGGCTGAATCCTATGAATACTGAGAGGTGTAGGGTCTTTTCTTAGGTTCCGGAAAAGCTATCGCCAGAGCAGGTCCACTAGGAGCATTGTAAGTTTCTAGTCCAAAGGGCATAAATGCACAGCACTTACTATAGCTTTGCCATTAGACTGGGATATACTTTTGTAGGAATGTTGGTATCCGGCGTCGTTCTTTCAATAGCAGAGCTAAGGTATGTTCCTTCGGCAAACGTGAGTTTAATGGAAGCTTGCTAAAATTGGCCATTGCAGTGCTCTCGTTCCTTTGAGTGGAGGTATCATACGCCATGCCGAATATTTTGTCGATCCCGCTCTCTCATTTGCGAACGGTTGGAACCAAGTCTACAGCAATATCATCACGATACCTGCCGAACTCGTTGCTGCTGCCATTATAATCCAGTTCTGGGTTCAAATCAACAATGCCGTGTGGATTGTATGCTTTGGGTTTCTTTTGGTCGTTAGCAACCTTCTTTTTGTTCGAGTATATGGTGAGCTTGAATTCACATGCGCGATATTAAAAATAGTTCTCATTGTTGGCTTGAATATAATGGTAAGACTTCCTCTTTCGTCTGTTCACAACAATACTTACTAAAAGTTCTCAGGCACTGATCATCACTTGCGGTGCAGGACCAAATGGTGAAACTTATGGTTTTCGATATTGGCACGACCCAGGACCATTTGTTGATTACCTTGGATTTACTGGGGCCTTGGGACATTTCATGGGATTCTGGACCACATTTTACAATGCAGTATATGCTTATTCTGGGGTGGAGAATTTTTCTCTCGCAGCTGCCGAAACACAATCACCCCGTCGAAATATTCCCATCGCCGCGAAAAGAATTTTCTTTCGAGTAATGCTGTTCTATGGTATGTACACGCTTATTTCTCCCTGTTTCCATTCAGGCCAAAGTATTGAGTTTTCCATAGTCCTCTCAATTTTCATGGTCGGCATGATTGTACCATCAAATGACAAAGAACTCTTGAGGTCTACCGGAACAGCTGCACAGTCACCGTTCGTTATTGCTGCAAACAATGCAGGAATTAAAGTCGTCCCTTCAATTATCAATGCCGTGGTTTTGACAAGTGCATGGAGTGCTGGAAATGCAGGTTAGTGCCCCTTCGTTGAAAATCAAATGCTTGACTAACTCATACAGCTATGCTTGGTGGATCCCGAATGTTATATGGACTCGGTCAACATGGACACTCACCAAAGGCTTTTCTTCAAACTAACCGCTTTGATGTACCATACATTGCGATTGGATTTCTCAGTCTGTTCATATGTCTCGGGTTCCTGACACTTTCGGATTCTGCGAGTATTGTGTTCAGCTGGCTCCAGGACTTTGTTGCTGTATCTGCTCTTATTAATTGGATGATTATTTGCGGTGTATATCTAAGATTCTATTATGGATGTAAAAAGCAAGGAATTCCTCGATCAAATTTACCATGGAAAGGGCCATTTCAACCATATGCTGCATGGATAGCATTTATCTCGTTCAGTGTTCTTCTCTTAACTGGTGGTTACTCCGTTTTCATCAAAGACCAGTAAGTCTTCTTACATCACGAAATGATCATACATGAGACTTCGACTAATAATTATTTCACCTTCAGTTGGGCCACGGAAACTTTTGTCTCGTCTTACATTAATATTCCCCTTGTTCTTAGCTTATACTTCGGTTACAAATACAAGAAAGGTACTAAGTTAATCCCATTATCTGAAATTCCAATTCAAAAGTTTATCAATATCGCAAACGATAATCCGGAGCCTGAGCAGGAGGAGGTTGTTGGGTGGAAGCGGCTTAACATTTTGTGGAGTTAGAGGAAATCTTGCAAGTGGATGATAGTAACGTCTGTGGCTTATGGTGTTCTAGTGGAATGTGTGGTGATGGTCCATGATGTAGATACAGCAACATGGTAGATATTTCCAATTTTGGAATTTTAGCATTATCACCAAGCCCATTGATAATAAACTTTTGAGGATATTTGCAAATAAAAGCCGGAGGAACACATCGCTGATCCATTAGTCAATTCCTTGATTTCGTTCTCCAGCTTACCCACCATAATTGATCCAAGCAACACTGTCTTTCCTACCTAATTTCTGTTCCCATCATGCTGTTACTAAAATCTAGCTAGATCTCTGTTGAGGTTCTCAACGCCGCAGCTGAACATTCAAAATATATGATGATCCATTACCAGTTCGTCAGTTCCATATTTCCAATATACTCTATGCTATTTTACCCTAAATCTCGTATCCTCTCTTCTGCGAACTATTATTATCAGTTCTTGGTGCCTGTCTCTGACCTCGGATTTGGATTTATTATCTGGATTTATTTATTTGTTTATTGTGGTTTTTAGTTGATGGAGGGATGGTGTGGAGATTGCTGGCAACGGATTCGGAGAATACTGAAAGTGGATGGATGGGAGTAGGAGATTATGAGTTGCGTGGGGATGAAAATTGGATGCGGAATTCTGAATAAATTATCTATGCTAGGCGCCGATGTGAATATTTCTTATATCAAAAGATTTATTTGATTTTTGTAATATTTCTATAGGGTGAGACTTCTATATTTTTAATTATTGGGCTTTCTTGATTGCCGCCCGATCACAAGGAGTAGTGTGGATATTGCCAAGAATGTTAGACGAAAATGATCGGATAATGATGTTGATTTTGTCTGTGTTGGAAAAAAATGTGCGAGTTTTTATGTTATGATTATTAGGGGTGTTGGGTGCTATGTACTTGTGATGAATTGAATATAGAAGATAAGGCAATATTGTATTATATAATACTTTGATTTAAATGTATTGATTCAATATCAAGTGTTTGAGTATTTATTACTTTAGTATTATTTATGTTATTTGATTTTCTGATGGAAGTATTATAGGATGTAGAGGTTTATAAGAAATATAAGATGTTTTAATAAATTATTCAATCACTTAATAAAATTAATCAAACTGTTAAAGTGAATGGTTCCTGCGTAGCACGTGCACAGGGCACTAGTCCTATTAGGACTAGATTGAGAAGCTCTCTGTAGGAGAGCTTCGCACTTCCGTAGAACTTAGAAGAGTGATTAATATACTAGACCAATATTACCTCAGTTCTGCCCTATCAGCTTCCCACTATTCCCTGTGTAAGGTCATTCCTTTTAACATTATTATTAATTAAAATACTAAGATCGTGATTCACTTTCTTGATTAATCAGATTATAATATTTACTAAATTAAATTTATATAATAACTTTATATCGAGTCAAATCATTGTTCTGTAGGTAATATATAACAAGAATTTTAAAGAGGTGAACCTCTAATAAATCCCTTTCCAACCTCTCACAATCCCAAATATCTCCCTATCCCCATCCCACCATCCTGCCTAAACCGCCAAGCACCCATACCATATACCACCTTAGCACGTGCTCACCTCACGTGGCACATTTCTGCCTGCTTTTGCCTGTAAAAGTGGAGCTGTAGCCTGGCGATCCCGCCTATTAGGTGCTCGGAGTAGTACATGCTAATTGAGCATATGAATGAACCGAGGATGAAATCATATATCAAGATGTAAAGATATATATATAATTGATTTTTCCTTCAGGATTTTTCCTGGGAGGTTAAGAATTGCTTCTTTTTGATTATTCTGATCTTATATTTTATTTTATGAATTATTTAAAAATATATTGATTATTTCAACGCGTCCTGAGAGAAAAGAGAGATCTAGTATCGCAACTATATACAACGATATATAGTATCAAATTACTCGATTGGATTAAAAGTTTGGATTAATAATCACCTAGAATTATTACAAGCAGGAAAGGAATAGAAAAAGCAAAAGCAAAAGCAAAAGCAAAAGCAAAAGCAAAAGCAAAAGCAAAAGCAAAAGCAAAAGCAAAAGCAAAAGCAAAAGCAAAAGCAAAAGCAAAAGCAAAAGCAAAAGCAAAAGCAAAAGCAAAAGCAAAAGCAAAATCAAAAGCAAAATCAAAAGAAAGTCATCAACTCACTCACTCACAATGTTCACCTTTCCTCTCTTCAATTCTTTCCCCGCCGAAATCCACGCGCTTATCCTCGAGAAATGTCCTCCGAATGATCGTATCTGTCTTCGTCTTACATGGTATATCTCCTTTCCTCTTTCCTCCTGTTCTTTTCTCCTCCCACAATCTTTCCTCTGTTTAATACTTTCCTAAGCTTGTCCTCCTCTTCCTCCCCTCCTTTCCCCCTCTCACATCCTCAACCCACCGATCAAAAACTAACACCAAAACCTAGTAAATATCTCTACACGCTCTCTCCCCAAAAATCTCCCATCTACCTAGCCTATGCCCCACCCCCTGAAATCCTCTGTTGTAAACCCGAGGTCTTACGTCTTTTTCCCTCTCCCTCTCCCACAATCCAACACTCATTCCCTATCCGAAAATGCGGATATGGGGTACAAACATGGTTCGTTCCTTCTTCCTACCCCAACCTCATTATCTCCCCTTCATTTCATTCCCAACCCAAACCCAAACCAAACCCAAACTAACCACCCTCCCCCTCACCGCAGCCACGATCGCTCCCTCGCCTACATAAATCACCAACGCCTTGCCCAAGGCCTCCTCCCATTAACAAAACGCAAATGTCGTGATAACTGGGCACCACACTGTCCCTGTTTTTCTCGCTCCGGAATCCTCTATAAACAATTACAGACTTGGATGCCTAACGATATGAAATACTGTTCTTCATGTAGTGTATTTACGAAACGGAAGAAGAGTAAAAAGTTTAGATGTATGTATTTTCTTTCTCTTAACCTTTGGATTTAAACAGCCCTCAGCCCTTAAATAACACCCTTCCCCTCCCTCCGCTTTGCCCCTCAAACAGAACCAAATAACAAACCCTCCCTCCCACCACATCCCCCCAAAACTCCCAACTCCCAACTAACCTTCTCCCCCCGCCAAAAAAGGCACACACAACCTCCCCCATCTCCGCCATCCCTACCGCAACAGAAACCGCCACCTAAAAAGCAATCTCTGGACCTCGTATAAAGGACGCGGAGGATATTATGAAAAGCTATGGAAGAAATGGTTTAATAATTCCGCGTGGAATGCGATGGAGGAGCGGATGAGAGGGGAGAGGAAAGTGAATGAGCGGTATGATTTGAGGAGGGAGTATAGACCTAGAGTGGGGGATACGAGAGGGATGAGGTGTGAGGGGTTTGTGGGATGAGGTTAGGAAGGGACTGGGGGAAGAGGGGGAGGTTGGGGAGGGAACGGATATAGAAGGGGTAGTTGGGGATTATACACGAAAATGAGACGGAATCATCGGGTTACCTTTTCAAGTATGGTGGAAATTGATAGAATGTGCATCCCATATCAACCGATAACTTATACTCTTAAATACCTACTCTCCTATTCACATACAGTATCATACATAAACCAAAGCACTAAACCCTCCCTCCATACATCTATAGCTGAAATATAAAACTCAAAAAAAAAAAAAAAAAAAAAAAAAAAACCAAAAACAAAAAGAAAACAATTAATACACACCTCGATGACACCTCTCTTCTCTATAATTATAACTACAATAAATAAACTCACCAATCATATTCCTATATCTTAAAAATACAACCATACAACCAACAAAGTAGAAGTCCCAATACCAAACCATCAAACCATCAAAACAAATAAACAGCATAAAACTAACAAAAAGGATACATCATACCAATACAAATACCTACCTAGTATATCCTCCATATCTCCATACCAAGATGAGTAACCTAACTAACATGAGTGGAGTGGAATAACAAACTATTTTGGATCTTCTTACAAGGTTCTGGAATGTGAGATGAGATGAGATGAGGGATATTAGATCAGAGATACAAGAATGCTGACGAGAATACAGAATACAAAGCTGACATAAACGATAAATGATAAATGATAAATCTAATAACGCGCATCTACATTTTCGCTGGCATGTAGTGGAGCGAGAGGGGAGGGGGAGGGGGAGGGGGAAGGATAAGTGAAGATGAGATAGGATGGAGAGATCTTTCATTCCAATCCCCTCTTTATCTTACCTATCTATCTATGTATGAAAGAATTCGGAATTCTACAAGTCGAGCCGATATAAAAATTTAGAGTTTAAAATCTAAAGTTTAGAATCTGGAAAGATATAGAGTTGAGATTGTGTAAATAAATGGATAGATACATACATACATACATACAATGATAATTACAAGAAAGGACGAGAAAAGATTTGATATCTCGAGAGTCGAGACAAGCTAACATTTGAGATGAAATAACCCATCTCGAATCCCAAATCAAACAACTAATATAAATTTACCAAAAATATATATTACCTTAAAGGATATCGTATCTACAAACTCAACTCCCGTATCGCTATACACAATAAGAACGATATCGTTTCCAGAATCCAAGATCAGATAGAGATAGAGATACTAAACCCCGAGAAAAGCAAATGTATTTTTTGAGGCTGGGGAATCGGCCCTTCATCCTTATCATCCTTTCAACCCGTTTCTCCTCTCCCCAACTGTTCACAACTAAGTACATGGAGTACATGGAGTACATGGAATACAGTGGCATGGTGTGTTGTGGAATTCTTGTACAACATGCAGACTGGGGATGTGGAAACGGCCCTTCTTCACACATTTTCCTCCACCCTTTCCCCCTTCACCCCTCATTGATAAAATCTCGATGCAATAGTAGCGTAGAAGATTTGACTGAACACCATACCATATAAATAGTATGTCATTTAAATTTTTGAGTATGAAGTGAAGGTCTAGGGCACTAAACCTACCTGTGAAATTTGAATACTTCAATCGGTGGATGCAAAATGCACTTTTAATAACGATGAATAACAAGAACAAAATTTCATTCCCACACGTGAGAAATCGGACGTTGTTACTTTGCCCACCAAACATAGAAAGTGAACAATTGACCAATCCAAGGACCACAAGTCCCGTATCTCGTGAACAAAATATGGAACTCACATCTTCTGATCCAAGATCCAATTGTGACATCGGAACACCGCAACGTCGTAAAATAGATGTAAGCATCTCTTATGCACCAAACCCACCTTACAAAAATCCACACCTTATCCAAGGCAAGTGAGGCTGAGAAACCATTCGTCGTTACAGTCGGATGTTGAGTGAGATCCGACCATACCGTCGTTGCCAGCACGGCCATAATCCCACTGAATCCATTATTTATTTCAGTAAATTCCTTGAAAACCAAGGAAAGTCCAAGAACGGAAAATTAAGCGATACAACAGTCCATCTCTTTTGCCTCGCCTCGCCTGTTTTGGAAGAATTTGTCCCACTATACCCACCCAGCCGGAGAGTGGGCCATTTATGCTTTCAGCCCACTTCCGGATATCCATACTAAGAATATCCGAAGACAATCATCACCTGTATTGCTTTCATCTAGAGCCTCATTTCCCTTTATGTAGCCTCGAAGCGATTCGGAAGATATGTGAAGGAAAACCCTTTACCTCTATCTCTCACCGACAGAACATGCTCAAGAATCGGGAGCGGCGAGCGCGGGTCGTTAATGATAATACCAAAATAGGTATTGATGAGCAAGTGTTTGATAAGCCACCTTATAGGGCTTGCAGCAAGCCATTAGACCCTTCAAAACATCTACCGCCAGCAGATACCTTACCTGAATATGACGGCATAATCGCAAATTAAAACTGTTGAAAATCGAATCTCCTGATACAATGCGAGTCTTCCGATCAAGTAACGGAAACAAGATTGAATAATATATACGCTAAATGCTCGCAGATGCCAACTTTAGGATATTAAAATTTGAAAATCATGACTTGGCAGGCTTGAAAAATTCAAAGCCGCCATATAAAATGCTCGCGTACCGAAACCCCTAGACGTCAGATATTTCTAGTGATGTTCTAGTGGGCTTCTAGCGCAGATACAGGATCCACCTGCATCGGCCAAGCTTCGCTTTTTGGGTTAACGGACTTCAAAGCGAACAGTGAAGGCGGGTGCGCTGCAGGAACATTTAACCAAATTAATGTTTGTCGAAAGTTGAAAGTTCGTGGTAATATTATTGATGAGCGGTAATCCGATGCTTAAAATAAAACAAAAGTGATGTTACCGTAAAATGATCTATTCATCGCTCAAACAGTTGAATAATTGAATAACTATTCTGAATTGTTGGGAAGTCAAGGCGGAAGGATGTTTGTGAAAATCCCGATTAGTGCCGGCTTCTTTGTGGGTCAAAAAACTAAAAGTCCCATATCGACAACTAAACAGCGATTAAATCAATCAGTCCACCAAAATATGGAACTTCAAACTCAAGTCTCGCCGAAATTTTTTTCAAAGCGGTTTCTCCTCGGTCTATGACGCCATAGAATAATGGCAACACATGTCGGGACACAGTTCAATGATGACCATCTGAGAAAAGGTGGGCGCTCCAGAATATGGAGGGCATATCAACGAGCCCCCTCTCTGGAGTCTCCTTATTTCAAAACTGAATAAATGTCCCCATCTCCCCCCTCCTCCCGCAACATGTCGTCTTCCCAGATCCTTCACAACAAACCTCAAGAATACGATATGGCAGATCTTTCAAAGCATGATGGGCTTCGCCCAAATCCTGGTCACAAAGACAGCTCAAATTCCGAGTTACCGGATTTGAAGCAAGAAGAGAATCGAACACCGCCTCATGGACGAATAGCAGGAGGTTCTTTCCTGGAATCGATGCGCGGCAGTGATAGTGACAATTCTGAAGACGGACCTTTGAAAGAGGTCAACATCGACATGCCAGAAACTCGCACAGAACTTATCACTAAAGACGGCGCGGAATATATCGTCCTCCACTTCACAGCCAAAGATCCAGAGAATCCATTTAACTGGCCCGCAGGAAAGAAAGTATTAATCACTCTCTTGCTCTGTATGATGACACTTTTCATCGGTTTGGCAACAACGGCATATAGCAGTGGTATCACAGCCATGTGCGATGATCTTGGTGTTTCAACGGAACTTGGACAACTGGGACTCTTCTGTTTTAATATGGCTTGCGCACTTGCACCATTATTCCTAGCACCCTTTTGCGAGTTGGTTGGTAGAAAGATAATTTACATTGGGGCTTATGCCGGATTCATCATCGTTTTCATTGGTTTGGCTCTCGGTAAAAACATCGCAACCATACTCGTTATGAGAACTTTGAGTACTACTCTCCTCATCCAAGGCTTATGATAAACAAATGCTAACTGTTCAAAGGTGGATTGTTTGGTTGTGTTGGTACCATTCTCGTAGGTGGAACCTTCAGTGATATGTATACACCTGATTCGAGAGCTGTTCCAATGGCATGCTTCGCATATGTAGCAATCTTGGGTACGGTCGGCGCGCCAATTTATGCCGGATTCATCGATCAAACAATTGGCTGGAGATGGATTGAAGGGATTCAAGGGTTAGCAAACTTGCCTCTTCTTGCTGCAATCCTCATTTTCTTCCGGGAAACTAGAGGTGGTGTTGCGTTACACAAACGTGCCAAGAGTCTGCGAGCTGCAACAGGCGACGAGCGGTACAAAGCAGAGATGGATTTGGAGGCAAAGGATTTGAAGGAGATGCTTCACAATTCTTCCGTCAAGGCCGTCAAAATGCTTGCCACAGAACCTGTCGTCTTCGCCTTTGGATTATGGATCGCTTTCGCCTGGTTCGTTACCTTTTTGTTCCTGTCGGTGATCCCAATTACCTTTGAAGAACATCACGGCTGGAATGAAGGTGTAGCTGGTCTACCATACATCTCCTTATGTATCGGTGTGACCATTGCCTTCGGTTTAAACTTCTTCCAAATCAAGAAATACAAGTCGATCATGGCCAGTCATGGCAACCATATTGTTCCAGAATCTCGACTCTACGGCGCGATGTGTGGTGCTTGTTTCCTCCCCATCGGATTGTTCATATACAGCTTCACCCAGTACGGCTTCATTACATGGGTTGCGCCTGCTATTGCACTTGCACCAATCGCGATGGGTATCTTCTTCATCTTCGAGTCCACATACAGTTACACATCGGATTGTTATGGTGAAAATAGTTCCTCCGCGATTGCTGGACAGGGTTTGATGCGTAACGCCTTAGGTGCAGTGGCACCGTTGTTTGCAAGCCAATTCTTCCATAATGTTGGTAGCCAATACGCTGGACTTATTCTCGCTATTGCTGGTACTGCCTTGACATTTATTCCTTTCGTCATGTTCAAATATGGACATCTTTTGCGAGCTCGATCCAAGCTTGCTAATACCCAGAAGGGAGATCAAGAGCAAAAGGATAAAACCGGTCTTTACCCAGCTCCTTTCGTATGAACTATTCAAGGGTGATGTCGATTTCGAACAAATGATGGAAGCTGGTTGGCGTACACTTGCTGGCTTCCTGACTTGGGTCTCTCCTTGGGCCTCTATTCGGTGGCTGGATTCGTCCGCCTTGAATGGAATTCCAAGTTGTTCCCCCACACAGTCGAAATTCCCCACCGCGGGTCGCTCCGCAATTTTATTATTATTATTATTATATAGTGTAGCATAGCATTGCGGGATACTGGTTTCAATTTTTGGATGACTTTCGATCGAATTTATGAGGGACATCTGGCTGGGACGGGAAATATACATTAGCTGGCGTTGGTAATTTTGGGGATATAAATGGGGAAGAAACTGTATGATACCAATGAAATTGAAGCTTCTGAATAATTCATGTACTATCCATTACTTTGTGATATTCTTGGTCGACTGCAGTTTCGAGAATAGAGATGTAAAGTAAACAGAACCTTAGATGCCATGCTTCCTTAAATCGCACTTAACTGCTACCGGTGTTGGAGCTCGAATAACATCCACCAGTGATCATACCAAAAAGTTTATTAAACGGGAAAGTCGCGACATCTTTGAGCTAACATATTTTGGGCTTATGCGTGCGATGTCGGATGAGTTGGTTGCTGCAAGCCAGGCAAAGCCTGAAATGTTGGTGATTTTTTCTGAAGCCGACAACATTTTCAATTTCGGCTTACAACAACAGTAACGAAGGAAATTGTGCCAAATTGAGCCTCCAGTCGTGAAGACAATATTAATATCTAACACGGATTTCTTTAAAAGTGCAGCTGGAAGTATTGAAATTATCTCCTTAATGTTCGACACCGCCCTGCTTCAGATTTTTCTGTTCTGTCTGTTCGTTCTGTTGGCTGTGGGGGTAGACATGTGGGGTCCGGGGTAAGACTTGGAGAAATTTGGGTTTAGGAGAATGAGGAGAAATTTTTTCTAATCGCGAATAAAAAAAGGGCGGAGACTGATAACTTTATACTTTTGCACACCTTGTGCAGGTAATATACTCTATTGCAACGTATCCTTGACAATTTCCAAAAGCTCCATGGCGGGATGACCCCAAAGAGGCAATCCCCGCCATGTGTGGATCCGTCTGGCTGGTAAAAGCTTTACCGATGATGAGCATTTACCATTTACTTCATCCCTTGGAAATCTCTCTCGTAATTCTTGTGGATCAATAACTATGACGATACGGTTGGTCGACTGTTATCCTTGGAACTGTTTGTGGAAAAGAAGTCATTCATCGCGGATACTTACATCTTCGTGGGCGAGTATGTTGTAACATGGATGATCTGGATCTGGAATATGATATATGACATTCATCATCGAATGCATCGGAGTACATCGTCTGACACTTCGATCGAAATTCAACGAGTGCAACGATTGCAACGTGTTGAAACAGCCAGTGGCCTACAACTGGCCAAGCCATATCACCTCATGTCTGTTTCATGGGAAAAGCTTCATCGATGATAGATCGTGTCGAGATCTTCCGGTGTACACTTTCCATTTTGTTGGATTCCTTCTCCGAAGTATATCTGTCTGTCAAGCTTCAATTCCCTCATGAAGGCAATATGTCAGATCAATCGAATCCTAAATTCTTACAATTCATCTCGATGAAAGCTTACCCATTTTGATCGACGGTCATAGGTCGTGGATGCCTTGGTTTCATACGCGTTCTGTGCGCCGTCGATTAAGAATATCCCGCAAATACGATTTTGTATTGAAAGAGTTTTGATAATCTTGATCTCAGTGAAGCATCTATCAGTTTTCAACCAACCGTGAAAGATGATACTGAGTATTGGGTATGTTAAAAGAGCAGGATTTCACGATTATAGATCTCGATGACAAGAAGACATCCCAATCCGGGAAGTCGTGCCTTCCAATTTGAAAATGTGAAGTTCATCAAGGTATACGACACCGTCATCGGAGTAGCCATGTCTCCTTGTTATATCTGGTTCCTTTTACTTCCTCCTGTCAGGAATTCCTTCTACACTTTTATTATTCCGTTCTATCAGATGAACTGGTAGAATCCAGCAACTGCAACTGCTCCTCTTTTATCAGACAATAATTCAACAATCAAAATGGATGAGTCAAAGAGCACAGCAGGTACTTCTTGCTCTGATGATATAAGTGAGAAACAGGAACCTCAATTTTGTTTGAGATGGGAGAGGTATTCATACGCACCGCAGCGGCCTCGAGGCACTTCAATCATTCTAAGAGACGATGAAAATGCTCGTAATCTCTCTCCTGTCATTAAATATGCCATCTCTATTGCGGTTTTATACACAGCTTTTGTGGCGTAAGTTCTCACAAATGTTCACCACATCACCATGTACCCACGTGCTCATCATATGACAGAACCTTTGGAAATTCGACCTATACTGGAGGTATGCCGGGTGTCATGACATCTTTTGGGACTTCCAAGACACTGGCCACCATTCCAATATCTTGCTACTCTGCGGGACTTGGTATCGGTGCATTATTCTCAACGGCATTTTCGGAAGTCTTCGGTAGAAGAATAGTCTACAGAGTCACTGCACCATTAGCATTGGTTTTCACGCTTTTAGGAGGTTGTGCTACAAACTTTGGTACTGTTGCTATCGCCCGAGCACTCGCTGGTCTCTTCGCATCTCCTTGTCTGACAGTCGGCGGAGGAATTATAAGCGATATATGGAATATAAGTCTTGAGAAAACTGGAACCATATTTGCTGCGTTGTTTGTACTTTTTGTCGTCGCTGGTACCCGTAAGTATACTCGATTCTTTGATGACACTCCTCAACGTCCAGAATTTTGATTCATTCTTTGCCATTGTACCATGTCTAGTCTCTAATACAGATATTTTCACCTTATTCCTCCAAGAGCTTTCTTGATATGCAATTACTGACTCACCGATGTTCAGAAACTGGGCCAATGGCCGGTGCAGCGATAATAACGAATCATTCATGGCGATGGGAGTTCTGGGTTTCAGCTATCCTTTTCGGAGGATCTACCATCATTGCCTATCTACTTCCCGAAACATACCAACCACAATTACTCCGTCAACGAGCGGAAGCTAGAATGGGCCTTATTACCACCAGAGCTACACTTACCAGACTCGTTCTTACTTCTCTCGGAAGACCTTTACATATGCTCTTGGTTGAGCCCACAGTTTTTCCAACTAGTCTAGTTATGGCCATAACACAATCTGTTGTCTTTTCATATTTTGTTTCTTATGCTACTCTATTTCAAGAAATTTATCATCATTCTCCTTATGCGGTTGGAATGGCATTTTTCCCTTTGATAGTTGGGAGTATAACGGCAATTCCCACAATTGTCATCTTCGATCAAATATTTTACCGAAAACCAAGAATTGAAGCAATTCGAACAGGGACAAAGGTGGCACCAGAAAAGCGTTTATATCCAGCAATGCTAGGGTCCATCACACTTCCGATTTCTTTATTCTGGTAGGATAGGAAAGTTCCTCCTTCACCTACTTTACTAACAGAATAATTAGGCTAGCATGGACAGGTCGCGCAGATATCCCATCAATCGTCCCCATTCTTTCTGGTGGACTATTCGGCTTCTCATTTGTCCTAACAATGGTATGTTTATCAGTATAAGTACAAGGATTCTATACTGACCAAGTATCCTCTCAGCTATGCCTCCCAGTTTATCACAGCGACTTCTACACTGCTCACTACAGCGCCTCAATGTTAGCTGCCTTAACATTCATGCGCTTCTTCATCTCAGCCTCTTTTCCACTCATCACACCAACAATACTCGATAAACTTGGCTTTACATGGGCTACTTCAATGCTAGGATTCATTACTATAGCTTTGATACCAATACCTTGGATCTTATATCGTTTCGGTCCATATTTGAGAACGAAAAGTCGATATATACAGGCATAAGCGCAAGTTATGAAAAAGTTGCTGAACCATGTAGTATCTAATTTCCTCTCTCTTTTTCTATATATAAAGCGATTTTATTATCCATTTGCTAGGTTAAAGGTTATTATTAGCTATATTTGACAATCAGTCAGTAGATACTTAGTATATTTTAAACACTTACCAAATACTATCTACATCTATGTGTATGTGTATATGTAGATTCAATCGTATGTCTGTATATATAAAGTTATCAAATATAATCTAATCTTATATCCCAAATTATCTTCATCTTTCTACTCTTTTTTTTTTTTTTTTAATCTTTTTATCTTTTCATCTTTCCATCAGCAATCTCCTATATTATCTAATAATCATCATCTTCCTCAAAAACTTCTCTCCTTTCCTCTCCTATTCTTTTAATCAAATATTGATTATCAATTATTATTAAGAGGCAGATTTGAAATATAATCTTACTAAACTAACTTACCCCAATTTATTTCACCCCTGCCTAGCCCTAGCTATCTAACTATTCAATCTCAGTTTTTAAAACACTAGATAAAATTCAATCCAACCGTGTACCATACCCCGCTTTCCAGACTAACAACTTATAATTATAAAACCTCGCAACTAAACTAGCCAATCTTACAATTACACTCACTTCCTTCAAAAACCCCCAAAATACAAATAAGACTCCCATCCAAATCATGACTTCTACCACCAATACTACATACTCTCCTAACCCATCAGTTGAATCCCACAGCGAGTAAGACCCCTCACTCATACATATTCCTGGGATATATCTAATTGTGTGAACGAAGTGAATGACTTCAATTCAATTACTACTGTAATAAAGAACTAAGCGAACGCGAAAGAGACTAGCTCTTTTAGTAAGTCTATATAAGACTTACTACTTTCAATATGTAGCTAGCTCTTTAGACAGAATACAATTAGACATACAGGACCTACGTAATCCGTGGGTGCTACGTCTTCCGTATCCTTCTCGTACCAACACTAATCTTACAATTCTAGCTCTCAACACATAGATATCATAAACATTGAAGTCGGAAACCCTAATATATTTAAAAAGATTCGATGCGCTGTTCATCGAAAAATCCCCTGTATATGCAATATGGCAGCACGTTTTAGGGAAATGTTCATGGCTGGGTTTCTGGAGGCTAGTAAAAAATAATCGGTTACTTGGGCTCAGATAATGTTCGTTGGCAAGTAGCAGTGATCGATGTCATGCGCAATGTGGTTCGCCTCTGCGGAGGTGAATTGGTACATATATCGTGCTCGGGATACCAGAGAGTTGCAGTCTTGTGACTATTATCGACATAGAATGGGTGAGGTGTGTCTGTATGGTGGAAAGCCTGCTATAATTTAGGTATCGGGAGGATGGTATGAGAGGTGCAAGTAATTATACACGGGCTGGTATGGCAATTTTTGTTTTTGGATCAGGATGATAGCATAGCGTTTCCTATGTGTGGCTCATAGAGAAGTGCAAGGGGCTCATGGTATGCTCAGGCTTTTGAGTTAGTCACAAATGACAAATACGGAGGTTATGACTTTTCTTTGAATAATTTTCAAGTCTGGAGATATTATTTGTTGAATGTAAGACTAGTTCCTATTGATTTTTATATTCAAAATTACAGTGGCTTCTTCTTTATGAGCAGGATGAGTGATTGAAAATATTCAGCGTGAAGAACGTATCGTCAATTATCTTGTGTCATGTTACTCATCTTTACAAACATTTCAAATTGTCACACGAGATTCATGTCGTTCTTTCATCCTATAAACTCATTCATGTACATCTAGTTTGTAGCATCATTTGAAAAACGTAATAAGCCCTAATAACAATCGCGAAATATCAAACTCATTCCTAAAAGCTAGAGTCCCTAAACCAGAGGTTGCATCATTTAAACGCTCTCCAACACCCGCATATGTGATCTTATAACCGATCATCCATCAACTAAATCGCGATAATACTCACAACCCGGCACCAACAACGGATCTTCAGGAACACCACCCATACTACCATCCGCCAGAGCCAATACATCAAAACGCAATTCCTCACTACGAGAAAAAATAGATTCCAGCTCCAAATTACCGACACCATCACAACCACCCTCTTGAAACAATTGCCACACCGCAACACGGGAGATCAAAAGCCTTAGTTTTGACTGAGGAATAGTATGTTTATAGACCTCCAACCAGCAGGAAGGATTAGCTTTTGCTTTCGTATCAATCATGAATTTGATGAGAAAATTGATAGATTCATCTTGAAGACGAGTAATCTTATATTTTTCGGCCATGATGCAGAGTTTGAATAATATTGGTAGTTTCATTGACATACATAGTCCTTGGAGGGAGGAAGTAGAAGATGTGGGTGTAAGATTACTTGCGGGTTTTCCAAGTTCACTATCGATTTTATCAGTGTAGATCCAGCCGACGAGTAATTTGAATGCTTGCGGGTCTTCATCAGACAAGATAGCATCGGGAAGTTCCTTAACAGGGTCGAGGATCTCTTGTGAAGTGTCGGCGATAATATTTTCGAATACGGGAATTTTGGTATAGAGAAGTTTGGCGTGGATTTGGAAGGTGATGGTTCCTCCTGGTTCTTTGCCGCTGCCAACTTCGATTCGTAGGATTAGAGGTCCTAAGTCTCTGTTGGAGGTTGTGTTAGCTAATTTATGATCATTTGATGGTTTTTGGAATAGAGTAGCTTACTCGGATGATAGATGTGGTCCGACTTCAGGAATGTAAGTGCCGCTTGAAAAGTTGCGAGTGTGGATATTGGTTATCTGTGTGGTTTTCAGAAGGTTTGCTCCTGAACTTTCAGTATACCAGTCTGGGATTACAGATGCGGGCCACGTATTGTTGGAGGCCATGACTGCAATAGAGTTTAGAGAGGAAGAGCTTTGTGTCTGCACGATATAACTAGATTTAGGAGATAAAATCAGCAAAGATAGAACCTTTGGGACAGAATTAGATATTTGACTTACAGGAAGGAGAGTATCTGCTCTAAGTCTGCGAGGAAGAAGTAAAAAAAATTTCATAGAGCGCCTGCTACTTGAAAGTGATTGGTTTGTATACAATAATCTCCCCAGGAAAACAAAGATGGAACATAGGTATGAGTAAGAATCGAAGACTAATTCCCAAATTTTGTAATATTTTTGTCCAGAGTCAAAAGTCAACTTTGCGTTATTTAAACTTGGGGTTATCTGGCGTTCTCTCAGTCTCCGGAAGAGAATAGGATTCAGGAGTCTGTGAAGTGGATGTTTATTAGCTTTCAATACTCTGATTCACTTGCATAATACGTCATCGGCATGATGCTTACCCGTTGGTTGACAAGTTTGGGTATGGATATATCATCATATCATGACTGAGAACATGCTCCCAATGCAAGTTCTGTCCCATATTTAGAACTCATTTTTATGTCTAATGTCCAGAATAGTGGGAATGTCTATCTGTATATGTATATAAAGCACGTTTAAGATGAGTTAACATCAAGAATACGATAAAGGATGCACTCAGCTGCTGGATCATAAAATATGGTGATGGTAAACATATTCTAGAATGATATGAGAACCAAAAAGGAATGGAGAAAAGAACATTAGAATCAGAAGTTTTTCTTGCATAATCCAAGGATAGAATGCCAAACAACCCAGTTTCTCGCCTGTCTAGTCTTCTATATAACTTTCTGTGCCCATTTATTGCCATCATATCACTTGCTCACTCTTCTAAAACAAACCCCCTGATCTATTCGGAAGCCCTAGGAAACATCTTAAATGATTCTAGCATGATGGTAATGCCCTAGAACACATTTTTGCCCTGGGGCCCCAAGTTTCCCTTGTCAAAACATGCATACATGCATTAAGTCTTCAACCATATCATGAATAAACCTCAACACTTGGCTCATCATCGTTTGCGTTGGTGATGTTAACCGAAATGTACAGACATGTCTCGTCAGCTCCATGTCTATACTAATCGCAAAGTGGTGCCCTCAACGGATTTTCATGAGGCTCTACCGCTTGCATCATTACTAAATCATTCATAAGCATCTCTGGAACTTGAGATGGTATGAAGTGAATATTTTTCAGACTCCAAAAGGTCGTGTTAATTCACTGATAGGCGCTTTGGTGATTAGCTTAATATATCTAAACCTCACTTTCGGATCAAGTTCTTATCGGGTATATGCATTCATGGGCTTTAATATTTAGAAAATCAGGAAGTATCAGTGGGGTGGGCTTGCACGGGAAATGCAAGGAAAGGTGCCACGTTACTAATCTCATGAACGCTTCCACAATCATAGCCCCAGTAATCTAGGAAGCTAAATCTGCATCATCTAATTCAACTTCAGGGCTTTTCTTACCAGCTTAGCTTTCTTATCATTTTATATTTTGTTATATTTTAGAGTACTGGTCAAAGCAGTGTGATTTTATCGGCACGTATAATGAGGATATAAGTAGAAACATAAGATTATAATTAGTCTTGACCCGCTAAAAAGGATCCTGTATATAAAATTAAAGATATCATTTCCTCACTTAAGAAATGTTGATACTGATAATGGCAGTCTGATACATGGTAATCCATCTGAGATCGAGGAGTTCCAATTTCCTTTCCCTCCCAGAAAAGTCAAGATATCAATAGCACCAATTGCTATTGAAAAGAAACCGAACCAAACCAAGACTAAAAGATTGCGATAGATTTCATTAGGAAAGCTTCCAGTTTGTGCTACCAGAGTATTGATGTATTTCTATGCATATTCTTATGGCTAATGTAAGACCTTAGTATATATATCTGGTATTCAAGTAGGGTTGGGTATGGTTTTGGATATAGATATTATCCCTTAATTACTATTAGAGTTTGATAAAGTTACTGTTAAAAATAATTCAGTAGTCAAATTGATATGACAGCAATACCCAGATACTGCCATCTAAATATTAATCCTTTTTGTATTGACGTTACGCCATCCAACCATATCCCTCTTCAAGACACCCCAAGAAATAAATTTAAACTCTCTTCCATCCATATAGTGCTCATAGTAATCCGACTTACGATAGTATGGAGAGTCCGAAGTTAATGTCAAATGATTTATATATTATCTGCTTATTGTACAGCTAGATAAAATCCAAACATTCTCGGTTAACGACATATTACTAGAGTACTCATATTAAAGATGTTCATTAATTACACTGTGGAGACGAATCTAAATGGCACCCCACTATATTATTATTCCTTCTACAAGAAATTCCAAGTATATAAGCAGTAACCCTCTCTCCAGTAAAAATCCAAGTAAAAGTATTTAAAAATAAATATCGAGGAAATAATATGAGGTGGGGAGGTTTGTGATTGGCGTTTGCGCCAAGAACTGTAAGACTAGATTTTTCCACCGAAGCAAGCTGGAAGTGGATTTTGTGATATGAAGAAATCAGATACAGGATTTGGTGAGTTCTTTTGCTGCTGAAAAGAATAGACGTTGTTTTAGTCGTGTAGTCAGCGATAACTTGTAAATGGTAGCGAGAGCCTACTTATACCCACACTGACTCCTTCTAAATCACATTCAGACCTAAGTCTAGTCAAATTGTATCCAAATGTATTGATTTTATATTCTAGAGATTTATTAGAAGATTTAATTAATCAAGATGTCAATGTTCGTCAGACGAACGGAACATTAATTTTTAAATATTACTATTCCTTTTACTAGTGAAATATTTTTTCGACCGTCATTACTGCAAAAGGTTATAATTCAAGTATAATCAATGATAAACAGACAACAAGACTTTAGTTCCTCATATGTCTAAACCATTTATTTCACTACACTCCAAATCTCCTTTTGAAACAATTGAAGCAACAATCCATCGCAATCCGGCGGTTTAAAAATCTACCCGAGACCCTGGGAAGATTGTTAGTTGGCAATCGTCCCAGTTTATAGATCCATCTTCACTAAAATGCGAGTTATATAGGTCCAAAACCATGTATTCTCTTCCTATCGTAAGGCAGGAGCTAATCGAGAAGAAAACTAATCAATGGCATTTTGAAACGTCGCGTATATAAAGATCTCTAAGTCCATACATCAAATAACGAAATAAAAATAAATGTTTTATTAATATTTTTATACTAATAGAATATTTTTGTATACTCTACTATTAGTTACGAATTGCATATCATTATTGTCATTACTTAAGTCCCTGCTTGACGCCTAGCCATAAACCACCTCGAGAGCCTAGAGCACTTCCACGTGATCTAGACGGCAAATCTCGTAACATAGGATACTAGACTTAAAAGGTAAATAAATATATCTGTGGGCATGTAAAATGATTATAATAGAGGTAAAAACAATGTAGTATTGTAAGCGAGTTTATCATTCCTATATAAATAGAAGATTCCCAAAATTTTCATGTCATTCCAGAACAAGATATCAAAATGCAGTTGTTGAACTTCCCCCCAGAGGAGCAGTATCAAGAACCGTCTCAACCTTCCTAACTCCATCCCCTCCACCCCCTCCACCCCCTCCACCCCTTTTCCTCAATCCATCTCCCACCCCAGTCCCCTGAACAGACAATCTCCCCCCCTCCTTCGGCCAATATAAATCCGTCCAAACCTTCAACTTCGTATACTCATTAACCATTCCCCTAATCTTCATATCCTCCATAAGCTGCCATGCTCTTTCATCCCCACTTTCCACACATCTTTTCACCAATGTAACCGCTGTACCAGGTCTCATCCACCAACCTCTTCTTCCCGCCGAATCAACCTTATCTCTTCCTACTACCATCATTTCCTCCAGGTACCTAAAACAATCATCGAAATCCGCGTTTTCAGGTTGCAAGCAAATAAGAATTAGACGATCGTAAGTAAGTTCATCTGGTCGAAGATTTAAGGCTTGAATCTCAGAGGCGAGGAACATGGCTTTGGGTTTGGAACCTCGGGCATGGTGAGCTAGACCTCGGAGGAGTGTATTGAAAGTTTCGATATTTGGACCTGTATCACAGATTGTGTGAAGTTCTTTGTAGTAATTTATTGCGTGGTCTCTGCTGTGACTTAAGTTGTGGGTTTCAATGATGGCTTCTAAAACAACGTTTACTGCTGCAATTGGAATGGTATATCCATCTTCCTTTAACGATCTGAGAATTTTCCAGCCATCAAGGGCGTTGAATGATGATGTTGTTAAGTAGAGATATATTGATCGTGTGGAATGTGCGTCTGGTGTGAGACCGGCTTTAGTCATTATGTTTAGAATTCGAAAAGAGGTTTTGATATCTTCAACTGCGACATATGCTTCTAGAAGAGCTTCGTAATGATGAACCCCGAGAACAGTGCTACGTTTTGAGAGAAGTCCAATAGCGGAAGTAGCTAGGTTTGGATCTGCATGACGAGCAGCACAATTTAATACCGCTGTACAAGTTCCATCGGCAGGATTCATTTCCGAAGTTTCGACTAAAAGTCTCCAAATGTAAGTGGTACCTTCATACTATTAAATTGTAAGTTAATATTAGAAGTAAGTATTATATTAATTTTACTTACATGAAATGCACTAGCAAATGAATCCAACAAGTGATAATGCATATGCATCGATAAAGGTGGTTTGTGATATCGAGACTTCAATAGTCTAAGAGCTTCATCCAACTCATCCAATTCACATAACCGAAAGAAGAAAATATCGTATAGCCATGGCTCTATTGCGATTTGATCTGCTTGCATTTGTTCGAACTTATCCATAGCCATCTCATATTGACGATCGCGAAGTAAACCAATGACCAAATTATGCCATCCGACAGGAGATAAACCATACCAGCGTTCCTTCATTTCCTCTAATGTTTGAGTTCGTAAAAGGTAGTCCGGATGAATCGCAAGTACCTTTTTAGAAACCTGTCAGTGATCTTATCCAAATTTGTGCAAGAAAAGTATACATACTTGTAAAACTGTATGATAAAGTCCCGAATCAGCCCCAATACCCAATGCCTTCATCTCCTCCAACAAAGTCCTAACAACCTCTACACTGCCATTTTCTGCATCCGCATTTGCTGCAATCAAGGCATCATAATGTATCAATGAAGGCTTTTCCTGTCGAACCTTCACCAAGTATTCTACCACCTTTGCAACTTCTGCATATGCCCCTTCTTGCGTCTTCAATTCTCTCAATCGTTCGTGAATCTTATCAGTATTTGATTCCTCCAAATTCAAAGGTTTTGGTATATTCATCTTCGCTTTGTTATGCCGCGATCTCGATACATGTTGGCCATTTAACACAGACAGTGAAGCTGTGGTGGTATGAAAGGATCGACTTTTTAAACATGTTGGGAGCTTTTTATTCTTAACCAAAGGACGGATTAAGAATTTCTGGGGTAATTGATTAAATGTAACAGGACGCGCTAAAATGAAGGCATCTATTGAGGGACAAAGACAACGCCATAGTCCATCAATTGGGATTCTCGTGGTCGTCATTGGGGTGCTCAGTAATTTTTATTCACGGTTCGGGGAAACATTTCTAGGCGCGGCGGGAATGGTATAGGATCACGTGAGGATAGAGGGGAAGAAACGATCCCCGCCATTATTGAATGGAGTTCATACAACAAGGGTGTGGTATTATGTTTGGGAGTGAATTTGAAGAATTGTTTTATGGGGAAATAGAGGTTTTCTTATTGTGAGCTAAAATCTTTGACTATATGAAGGTTTAAGAATCTGCTGAGACATACTAGGTAGGTAGTAGTTCATATATGCCTCTCAAGGATTCCTCATATCAAGTATGGACCACCTAAAGTATGCCTGCATCACTTCAAGGCAATTTCCCGTACACATCGAAATCTTCTGATGTTCATGGCAAGGGGATATAGTCGCTCCAATGCACTTTGTGTGTTATGAGTGCCATTATGTAGTTTCTTCGAGTCCATTTTTTTTACCCATTACCACCACCACCAATCTTTCAAGCCCCTCTCCCACCTCTTCCTCTTCCTCTGCCTCCCCTACCACCACGACCTCTATCACCACCTCTGTCACCCCTGTTACCTCCGCGACCTCTGTATCCTCCTTGCTGACCTTGTTGTTGATCCTTTACTAAATCGATGATTTCATCTGGCATTCGTAGATATTTGATCTGCGGTTTGAATTAAAACACAGCTTTCCTAGTAAAAACTCCCAAAATGAACATACGTTGTTTCCTTTAACATAAATTTCCGGTAACCTTGTAAATTTGTCGCCATCCTAAATTCAAAGTATCAGCTTCAGCGCATTCCAACAAAACACCCCTGCCCATCCCGATTGATCTTTCATACCGGACTCGTTTGTACAACCTCCTTCAATGTTAAGTTCATCCAGGTATCGCATGAAACTAAGTGACCATTCAAAGTCTCGCCATCTTTCAGCTCAACCAACATAGGGTGGCCTTGTGCGGCCGTGAGTAGGCCCAAGGGAAGCTATAGCAGAAGATATTAGCATCGTAAAATGTGGGCGCAACTGGCGCAGCTGGCGGGGATTTAGGATGGTAAGAGGAAGATACTTACAACCATATTGAGGATGAGTTGATAATTTTGTTTGTTATGCGAACAGCTTTAGAGTGGATTGATATCCAAGGACTAGCTGAGTTGTTTAGGTTACCGTATCGAAGTATGACGGATTTCGAGATGGACCATATGGGCAAAATTGGTGATGGTATTGTAGCCTTAATATCGAGGCAACAACTTCTGATAATGCTCGGTGCCGAATATCTCGCTTCTGCCAAATTATGTCAGACATTCAGGGTCACATCCGAACTTTCTCCTCAATATCACCAATATCACTACTGCGGTATCAATCAAAAGAAAACATGTATTTTCATGCCGACATACATTTAATGCTACCATAAAATCATCACATATACAGTCACTGATCTATTTTTGAGACTTCAACTGCTATTTCTGGATATGCCTCTTTCCCGTTTCCTTTTGCTAATCTTCACAACCATTAAGCCTTACTCCATAAAGCTGTTTTGATGCTGACGACGCGTAATGTCATTTTGATTGACCCCCTCCAAACCACGACTGCGCAATCATGAAGGGACTCGTAAGGTAGTGGGGAATACTAGAAGAACTTTTAACTCTTTGACTGTTTTCTTTAACTTTTCTAGCTTTCCCTTTGCTTGATTTGTTTTTGGTCTTTTCTCTTGCTTAGTTAAGTATTGAAGGATACACTTCTTCGTACAATATCATATTCTGATATTGTGTATTGCACAATATTTCTTCATTTCTTATCATTAAATTTCATCTTTATTTCTTTTTCTCTTTTGGATCTGTTCTCTCCTATTCATTATGCGCAGCCTTTTAAAGGCATTTTTACTTGCGCCGGCAATAGTGTCGGCATTGGTTTTACCATCAAGTTCAAAACAAGATGTTGATGCCGAGTTCAAGGAGAATGATACCAATAGTACTGGTAAATTTATATGGAATCTGCTTTCGTATCCTAGTCGAGTCTAACTAATATTATATAGATGCTTATACCATTGGATTCGTTCGCCTCGATATTGGTCATGCATTCTCATCAGCTGATATGTCTCCTCTGGACCTTCGAATTGATATTTTGCATTCCACAGAAGCATGCGGTTTTGGAAATGTTACGATCGATGGTCAAGCTCTTTCACAAATATTCAATCCAGAAACTTTAGTCTCGTCTGGAAAAGGTTCCGTTTCGACATCAACAAATAAACTCATAGTTGGATCATGGTCTTTCGATTGCATCATTATTGATGGTAAACCACATGAGCAATCTATGAAGTTCATGGTTGACTTTGTGGAGGGAAAAGCATTTCAAAACGTCGGGTTTTCTGTTCTCTTTCGACAAACGGAAAAGACTGAAATTTTGAACATCGAAACAATTTCTTCAGAAGAGGGTGAATTTATTAAATATCTTTCACGACAAGGTCAATCATTTGATAAGAAACATCATAACGGGAAGGGTTCTGGAGAACATGGGCACCATATTGGCCACAAGGATTTCAATATTCACAAGGAATTGGCCGAGCTTAGATATATGAAAGCTCAGTTGGAAGAGTTGAAATATCTCATTCACCAGAAGAAACGTCACATCTCTAAGCACTTTCAAGAGAATCATAACCTTGATAGAATCAGAGATTGTGATAGTCTTCGATGTGTTGCTAGAGTTATTAGCGGTAGGGCTCGCAGATTTTATGAAAATATTGCTGGTTATGGTGGTGATGAGCAACACTTCCACCATTCTTCAGAGTCACAGTCGGAGAGAGGCAGGAAACGTGGCAAGGAATTTCACGGAAAGTTAGGTAATCATAATCATACATCGGGGAATCATGAATTTCCAGGAAAACCTCACGGCAAGAATAATCATACAGATCCACACTTTCCTCATCATAACCGACAACATATTCTTCCAGTTTGTCATTATCCTCCTCCTTTTGATTTTCATCCTCACAGTCGCCACCATGATAGACCACATGGACCTCCACATGGGCCACCTCCACATGAATTCGGTCATCACAGATTTGAGCATGAAAGACACTCCGGAGTGCACCATTTCCAAGATGATGAAGAGGGAGGAAGGCACTGGGAAGGACGTCCTAGACATCCTGGTGGGCATTACGGACGACCAAATGAAGATAATTATGACGAAGTAGAAATGCCTCACCGAAATCATGATGGCTTTTCACACAGACAAGACGATTTTGACAGCGAATCAGAAGGACGTCACAGAAATCATGCTAAACCAGATCATGGACAAGGACTAGCATCATTTGATGCACCAGATCTCGATCAATTTAAAGAACACCATCATGGACCTCCACATGCTGGACCATTTCATGGTCCGGAACATGAGAGGCCACCTCATCCACACGAGAGACCACTCAAGGGACCTGAACACGAAAGACCACACGATCCGCACGACGGATTCCACCATGGCCTACCTCAAGACGGTCCTCACCACGAAGGCCCGGTAAGTCAAGAAACAGAAATCGACAGACCACAGCACGAATCTCCAGAAGATCAATCAGCCTTCCACGAACCACCTCCTCACGATGAACCTCACCCAGGTCCCGGACCCCACTTCAACGGACCCCCTCCCCCTATAATGGAAGAAAATAACCACATTCCACCGGGCGCAGGCAGACCACCGAAACCTCCTCATTCCCCCCTTCACATCCTCAAATTTATCCTCATCGGATTTCTCCTCTTCCTCTTAATCATTACTCTCCACCGTCGCACCTGCAACTCAACCTCTCATATGCATTCAGACCGTCACGAGAAACAACATCAAAGAAGAACTTATAAACGAGCATCCCGATCCCAACAGGCTAGTTTCAAATCCTGGTGGTTGCGTATTACCAGAGGAGAAGAATTCGAGGAAAAAGATAGGGATAGGGATGCATTACTTGGGGATTATGATTCGGATGTTGAATCTACATCAACACCAACAATTGATATCAGCGACAACACACCAAATCTTCACAATACGACACAAGCAGCACAGGAGATGGTTGCCGTAGAGGATCCCCATACCCATTTGCTTTCTCCCATCTCCCCCCCTAATTCCCCAATTCCTTCTCATGCGCAAGTACCGGGATATATGAATCCTCTACTAAATTTCAATGGTTACACAAATCAAAATCAGATTCAAATTCAAACTCAAAATCAAATTCAAGACGAAGATATACTACCACCATATTCAGATGAAGATTCTAATCAGAATCAAAGCCACAATCACCATTACGATCACAGCTACAATCACCATTACAACTACAACTTCAATAATAGCAGAAAATGAAGAAGATATTCAAGTAGCAGATGG